GGGAAAGAGAGAGGGGAGAAAAAATATTGTCAATTAGAGTGTTCTTGCTAAATGAGGCTAATAGAGTGAACTCTAAGTATTCTAAGTACCCGGTGCTTGGTTTTTTATGTCATTGGAATGTGCAGTGTAGCTGCTCATTTCGGTCAGGTCCTTGCTTAAACCTCTATTCAAGGTGTCAGACTTGTAAGTGAAACCAAGTTCTGCAGTTTCTCTTTCAACCTGGCTTTTGAAATTGCTTTGAAATAATATAGACACGTTTAGATCCATTAACGAGTGTCCAGGCAAGCTGAAATGTTCCCCAACAGGTTTCTGTGTGTTACCATTTCGAATATCCGCTTTGTGTGCATTAATCCTGTGCCCAGTTTGGCTAATATCCATGGCAGAGGAGCGTTGCTGGCACTTGATGGTATAGATCATATTGGTGGATATACGGTTGTATGAGCCTCTGATGTGGTGGTTTATGTGGTTGGGTCCTGTGATGATGTCACTTGTATAGGTGTGTGGACAGGGTTGGCACCGGGGTTGATTGTAGGGGTGGGTTTTTGGGTGAGTATGATGGAGGTGTGCTGCGTGGTTGCTGAAAAGGATTTGTTGGAGGTTAGGGGGTTGTCTGTAGGCGAGGATTGGCCTGTCCCCCAGAGGGGTTGTAACTGAACATCTCGTTAAAAAACATCTAGGTACCAATGCCCCTCTCCCCCAAGATAACGAGCATACTGACCCAGGATCTAAATTGACAGCATGATGAATAGTAATTGAACCACCTTTGTGTGAGATAAAGGTAATATCTAGGCATCAGATGGTGGCAACCTGACACATCAGGGTGATGTGTAACATGTTTGCATCTGTGTATCAACGTCTACCCCAAAGCTTGGTCTTGTCTGACCTAGGAGGCAGTGTCGGATTCAATGGCATCGACTGGGTTTTTGGGGGTGTCCTCGAAGTCTGTTATGTTGACTAATTGTGCATGGTCAACACGGGGGGAGCAAACACATGAACGCACACAGCCGAACAATTATCATCACTGAAGAAGCAAGAGACCTGTCAGGACACTACTGGTGACACTAGACTTCTACAGCCTCATATTTTGCTTGTGGTCCACTATGACCCCTAGATCCTTTTCTACAGTACATCTTCCTAGACAGGCACTTCCCATTTTGCATATGCAAAACGGATTGTTCCTCCCTAAGTGGAGTATTTTGCATTTGTCCTTATTAAACTTCAACATATTTACCTCAGACCATTTCTCCAGTTTGTGCAGATCATTTTATATTATGACCCTCTCCTCCAAAGCTTAATATCATCCACAAACTTTATGAACAAACTCTCTGTGCTATTATACAAATAGTCGATGAAGATATTGAACAGAACCAGTCCCAATACTGATCTCTGCGGAACCACTCTTGTTATGATAATGGAGCAAGTAATTAAGGAATCATCTGCAAACACTTGGAAAGTGTCAAGGTGATAGGAAACAGAAAGCATGGATTTGTAAAGAACAAATCATGTCAAACCAAGCTGATAGCTTTCTTTAATAGGATAACGAGTCTTGTGGATAAGGGAGAAGCGGTGGATGCGGTATACCTAGACTTTAGTAAGACATTTGATATGGTCTCACATGATATTCTTATCAATAAACTAGGTAAAAACAACTTAGATGGTGATACTTTAAGGTGGGTGCATAACTGGCTGGATAACCGTACTCACAGAGTAGTTATTAATGGTTCACAATCCTGCTGGAAAGGCAGAACAAGTGGGGTTCCGCAGGGGTCTGTTTTGGGACCAGCTCTGTTCAATATCTTCATCAACGATTTAGATATTGGTATAGAAAGTACGCTTTTTAAGTTTGCAGATGGTACCAAGCTGGGAGCGGTTGCAACTGCTCTGCAGGACAGGGTCATAATTCAAAATGACCGGGACAAATTGGAGAAATGGTCTGAGATAAATACAGGAAGTCCCCGGGTTACGTACAAGATAGGGACTGTAGGTTTGTTCTTAAGTTGAATTAGTATGTAAGTCGGAACTGGTACATATTGTAGGGGAAACTCTAGCCAAACATTTCTCCAGAGCTCAGTTTTATTCTCCCACACCTC